CAGAACTCAGCTGTATTGACTTAGTTACAACCAGCCCTCGGGAACCGACCGAGTTTGTAAGTCAAGGGTCCACTGTATCTAGTGTGCCCTTTTATCTCTAGTTAAGTCTAAGGGATGAAAGATTCAAGTCTAAGAGATTGAGGCTGTTGTGCTACTTGTAATGAGCATCACTGAGCAACAGTGCCTGGGCTCTGGGTCTTGTGCTCAACACTCCAGATAGCAAATCTCTCCTCTTTTCAACCTAAACCTCACTATTTGCAGAAGTAAAACAAAAAACCATCATCCTCCAACCTACACCACCCTTTTGTGTATTAGGAGATGCCTGCTGGCTTCAGTGGGCCGTGAGTTCTGTCCTCCAGGTTCTGGGCACCTTCATCTACCGTCAGGTCTCGGAAGCCAGAAGTCAAGTGAGGCGGTGCAAATGAGCTTCCTACCCATTGCTACAGCCTTTATTTTTCATCAGAAGCCAGGTTGTCTCCTACTGTGAATTTCTAAAAAGGGGTTATACCCTGCCTTCAGAGAGAACAATTTTTAAAAACTAGTATTTACAAAACTGGAAGGGACTTTGGTCACGGGCTCCAAAGCACACTATTACATTTTCTCTTGACTGTACTTTGTCACGTCTGTGAATTCGTGTCACTGTTAAATGTCATCCTCCCTGAAATGGACACTCCATGAGGGCAGACAGCAGGCTCATTCCTTCTGGAGAAGTGACAGAGGCCTTTGGAAATCACTGTCCGTGAAGACATGAAAAGTTAGTAAAGGCCATACCTGGAAAGGATTTCTCCCAGGTTGTGTAACGTGTTAGTGACAGAGCTAAGCTTACTTTGGATCTTAGCTCCTTCCGTCTCAGAGGCCACACCCCGATGAGACAGGCACAGGAAACCCAGAGCCAGCATCGTTGTTTGCTGCCCGGCTCCACGATCACAGGAGCCCTTCCGTAATAACATCCATGCTGCACGCGTAAGTTATGTAAGACTCCAAGAACAGAAGCGTCCCACAGCCATCGCAAAGAACCAACAGTTCTCTCAGATGAAGGTCCAGTTTTAGGAAAGTCCAGTCCCCGACAGCAGCTACGTTTCCATGCCTCAGCGACTGCTCCATCAAACACTCTGCTAAACAGGGCTTTAATGATGTAGACGGGCTTTGTGTCATATTATCTCAGGGTTTCTTATGAAGCAAATACTTTAAAAACAAGCTCCTCTTCAGCTCAGAAAGAAGGAAATTTGAATTTTCCAGGGCACAAATATTATCTAAAGCTAGGTGGCGGCAATGAGCACCCAATGATAAATCTATGGCAGATACTAAGGTAATTAAAATTGCATGTCAATAAGCCTTTTTAAAAGTCAATCTGAAAATGACTCAGATAGTTAATCTACTTTTTCGTAAACTTCATGAGTAGCTATCATCAAAATATAGACTTTTCCTCCTGCTTCTTTTTCCCTTTTGCCCACACTAGGGATTGAAGCCAGGCCTCATATATGCCAGGCAAGTGCTCTCCCATGAGCTACCTCCTCACCGTTTCCTGTTCTACTGAGACAGGGTCTTGCCCAGCTGTCCAGGCTGACCTCAAACTTGCATCCCCCTGCTTCAGCTTCTCAAGTAGCTGAGATCACAGGCATGTGGTACCACACCAGGCTACCCTGCTCTTGAAAATCCTCATCCTATCTACTTCTCCCACAGCTCACCTGAAGTGTCAAAAGCGCTCCAATTTTTGAAAAAATAATTTAGGATACTGATGTAAGTATCTATAAAAGATCAGCCTTCACTGATATGGCACTAAGAGGTACTGACTAGTATGATTATCCGTGTGAATGAGCCACAGGTACATTTAAGCATAGCATTTTATTCAAAACCTGTGGTTCATAAACCGCTGGGTTCTGAGCAAGTAACACAGTATCTCCTAACCTGTTTTCCTTGGGATTGAGTGAAACAGCATACAGGAAAAAGAACAGGACTTAGTCCTCAATGTAGACTACTGGGTCAGGCCATTTACACAAATTATCTCCCCTGGGAAAAAGGTATCATTAGCCTTGGGCACTTAGGGAAGTGGACCATAAAGACATTCACTAATTTTCCTAAGTTATTTAGTAGCAGATCCAAGATCCCAATCCAGAATTATCCACTCCCAAATCTATATTCTCCATTCTCAATGGTCTTTGGTCTTTCGAATTCTTCAGAGGCGAGCATCAATCCTGACCTCTAGTACGTTAGTCACCTAGTCCCAGCTTCTCCTCCGTTAAAGGAGATTATTAGTACTGGCTTCTGGAGGTTCTCAGAAAAATTAAAGTGTGCATCTCCTACAATTACAAGCCTCTCAGTAATGTCATCCACCTTCCTCAGAGGTTCCTTCCTGTGAATATATTTCAAAAACCTACACACTTTATGACGTCCTTGTAGCTACCTGGTAACCCTCCCCGGGACTGAGATGCAGCAAAAGTAATTACAGCCAACCCAACAACCCAGCTTCACTTCTCAGCTGTCAAGTCCCTGGCTCTGTGACTGTTCCTGTCAACAGTGGTGTCAACTTCAAGGGGTGGGCATGTGTCCACAGGAACTGGGTTGAGGTCATGGACTTGTCTTGCTCTGCCCACCAGCAGATGTCTGGGTGACGACGACTCCAGTCCTGCAGACGGAGGGCAGAGCCAAACCAGGTGGAAGTACGGTATCTCCTTTCTAATCCTCCTGGCCCGCCTGCCCGCTGCCTAGGATAATACCTCACTGACCGCAGCTCAACAGCACTCACTTTCTCCAGAACGCCTCTATTTCGATGCATCTGTTACCCCCCAAGCAGAAGGCAGCGTGCCTAAACGTGGTCCGTCAGCAAGAACCTGTGCAATTCCATGTCTTGGAACACCCCCCCCACCCCACAAGGTTGCCTCCCAAGCAGCCAGGTAAAGACTGATGCACTGTGAAGCTCTGGTAGTGATGAGGAGGTAAGGCAGTTGTTACAAGAAAAAAAGCCAAGAAAAAACACTATTTATTATTAAATGACCGTGCTCAGATGAAAATAGTCCCAAATAATCACCCTCAGTAAACTAAATGGAATTGGTATATCGGTATCTCCCTGGTCACAAGTGAGGCCTCAATAGCTACCCCACATCACACACCACAAAGCAGGAGGATGTTCTCAGAAAACGGACCTCAGGGCTGTGGAGGTCACTTTTCCACTTTTTACCAAACTCATTAAGATTCCTCTTGAACACTAGTTACTTTGAATTCACATAGCAAAAATACTGTAGGGAAAAAAAACGCTAGACTCACAAAAAAGATATCAAATAGTCCCTCTTATATAAGAAATCCAGGCTGTAAATAAAAGTAAAACAAAGGAGATGTAGGAAACAAAAAAGCAGACTTTTTGGAGATGTGGAAAGGGATAAAAAATGATCAAAATATGCTATATTCGGGTACCAATCCCTCCAAAGCACTGTAACTGTTATGTCTTGCATACATTAAGAATAATTCTTCACTGCTGGACTTGTGGGGTGACCAGGGAGGTCTTGTACCATACCAACTGTCTTGGGAATTCAGACAATCCCTGATGCTGAAGAGGCTGTTTCTTATTAATTCCTGTACTAGAAGAGCCTTTCCTAAACATGCAACTTTGGAGAGCTCTCCTAACATAACCTACCAGTGTTGATGCTTTATCTTCCTGTCTTCTCGATCAAAAGTCTTCAAATAAAAATTATAATCAACAGAATATAAACAATAAGTTTTTCTGCTATACAACCTGGAGCTGATACAGCATTTAAAATTTCTAAGATGGTACTGGTTTTGCTACGTCAAAACAAACTAACACCAGGGAAAAAATCTCAGAATATAAGAAAATGAGAAACTGGACCTTCACACTCTGTGCCACTTTGAGATGGGAATTTGTTCCAAGAATGAGAGGATTCCATCATTAGGCAAACATCAAGCTTACACCAACCAAGGTGGCCACGTTGTCGAGAGGCCAGCAAAGCTCCTGGGACCACCTTGCATGTGGGTCTGTGGGGACTGGAAGACCCTTGTGCAGCCCAGGACCACACAGGTATCCAAGTACTGTATACAGTGGCCCAACACACCCTAATTTGGTTAATCAGGTCAATGGAAGATTCATCTGCCTCTTGTTAACTGTATTGTGTACCCAGGTAAACATCTAGATCTCAGCTGCATTGACTTACAACCAGCCCTGAGGAACTGATTGGGTTCCTAAGTCAACAGTCCGCTATAATTGACCATTAAAGAAAATGTAAGAGACTCACTTAGGGCATTAACAGCATTTATCTGAAAAACACCTGAAGAGTCACGAGAGTTTTATGGCCTATTTCACAGAACCCACCTTCAGGCAACACCACGCCTCAGAGATCCGTGAAGGAAGATTTGGTAATCATAGGGAGGGGTATGAGTCACTGAGCTTCTCTCTTCTCCAACCTTCTGTTATGCTATCATTAATATAGTTCCTTGAAACCAGACAGAAGAAAATGGTGAAAATATAAGAGCCTTTTCTGAGGAGTCATTGAAGACAGTTTGTAACATGAGGCTCAAGACAAAGAACTAATGTCCTTTCAGTCTTCATCTTTATGGAACAGGAGAATTTTTTTTATAGAATGGGGGGGCAAAGCGGTGAAAGTATTTTCTAACATAACCCTGCGCCAAACGATAAACAGAAACATGCACTAGCGGAGCATTACCCACCAGGGAATCTAGGGTCTAACAATTCTGCAGTCCTTTTCACTAGACATTAATTTCATATCATTGAATTCGATCTGTGAGTCTGAGCCCTTGTCTTTCTACACCGTCTCGCCCTGTTCTCCACTCTCCCTGGCAGACCCTGTACGCTGCTCACAGTCCTATCTGGGCCTCTGTGTGCCACCCTTGGACTGGGACGTGCTGATTCTATTACAGCAGGCTGGGTCTGCACTCTTTCCTCACTGCTGTTTCAGCACACTTGACAGACCCGGGACCTCTGACTTCAGGCGCGCTGCTGTGGAAGAGGCCGCGTAACAAGCTCCATTTACCTGCTGGGCAGTTACACTCGGAGGGCGCTTCTCTCGAGACTCTTATTCTAGCCATATGCTCGTAGGATTTCTGCAGGAAGAAAAGAGGTATGAAGAGCCATCAGTAGCGCTGTAGAGAAATGGGCTCCATGGGAATCCACGCTGCCAGATTCACCAGCACGGAGAGCTCTCCTGACAACATTTACATATGTGCTTGGCCATGGGTCAAAAGGCAACTGTATCCAAGCCCCAGAAAAAGGACATGACCACTGACGGGTACAAGGTTGCAGGATTTGTTTAACATCTTTCTCCACTCATCTACCTCCACCCTCTCCCTCAGCCCAGGCTAAGCAGTCAGTGCCAGCACCGGCACTAACGTGCACTTCTAGGTAAACTCAAGACTCGGCCACGACAGCCACTGTTTTACACACCACTGGCCAACAGCCTCCCTGTCGGGAGAGCGACCTCAAGCCCTCCCTGAACATAACCCACACCGCCAATGGTTCTGCATTCACAGGTACCCTGCAGTGCACCAAAAACAAAGCTACTTTTAATTTTTTTTAACTTTTAGTATGAAACGATTCAATAGGTGAAAGATGTTGGCTTTAAATCATGTACAGGATGACTTCACTCCTAAGGGTGACTCCTTTTGTATATTAATAAGACCTCTCGCTCTAATCTCTACATAAGATGCGAAGCATTTAACAGATGCTGTGTCTAAAGGAGTATCTCTGTACCACTGAGAAAGTCACAAGAGACTCCAGAAAACGAGAGAGAGGCGTCCCCTGCCGTCCCTGCCCCTCCCTTACACCTCCGCGTGTGCTCCGCAGCAGACACCGAGGCGGAGTGGAGGAAGACAGCAGGCTCGGCGGTGTTGAGGGACGTGCGTTTGCACAAACATACGTCACGCGCCTGACAGGCAGCCCACAGCCAGCCGGGTGTGCACGCCACGCGGGCTCCGGGCTGTTTCCTGCACCCCGACGCCATGCAGAACGTTACCCACGTGCAAAGCACCCCAGCCTGCACACCTGGGCCAGAAGCCGCTCCACCTTCTCCTGCACCAGGGCCTTCAGCTGATCCAGGGAGTCGGGCAGCGGACGGACGGTGGGGGCTCCCTTGGCGGACTCCAGCGCAGCGATCCTCGCCTGGAGGTCGTTGGTCCTCGCCCCGAGGTACAGACACGAGGCGACGGCGACCGCAGACAGGACAGTGGCGAGCGCGGCGCACGGGGGTGCGGCGTGGGCAC